AGTATTTATTATAGTCCAATCCGGTACATCAAGGTGCGAAACTTAACAACGATTATCCATTTATTTTCATTATGTGACGTATTTTACGATGGATTTTTTTTTATATAAGCATTTGCTCAGCATCTTGAAACCAGGAAAACAAGACCGGCATACCGATTTCAACAAAACCGAACACAGAAAGCGCTTTAGCGTACAAATATTTAAGTTAATCTGTTACCATTATTATTATACAATGGGCTGTACCCTTCTACCGGGGCAATTTTTCTCGTATACGTACATATGCACTATGCTCACTTTTAAGAAACTAAAAAAAAAAATTGATAAAATACGTTCTAAAAATAGCATTTCCAGCTCTATTTGACATTGCAGGCTTACAGTTGTGCTCGTTTACCGATGTCTTTGTGGCAATATCAGTCAGACAGGGTCTAATTGCGAATCTGTAGTATCCGAACCTGACCAGCGCATGAAACTATTATGGTCAACGAGAACGATATTTGGGAGTAGCATCCGACAGGTCAACAAAATCTAGCTAACATTAACGTAATGGCTTCAGTCACCCTGGGGCACATAACACTTTCCTTTAACAGTCCATATTGCGTTCGTCGTTTAACTTTAAACGTAAAGTAATTTCATATTAGCGAGATGTTAAGAACAATTACATGCAGCAGGGAATAAAAGCTGCTGCTCGATTTGCCATCACGCCTGTTTTGCGTGTCTTCTATCGTTATCTAACAGGTTAAACATACCTTTTTCACTCATCTACTCTGTTTTGTGATTATAATATTTGACGACAGTTTAGATCACCTTACCGATATTTCGTTTTCGATCGTTTATATTTACATATGTACGCCTATTTCATCGACAGGCCCATTGCCCTCCCCTGCCGTCGTTTCACTTCGCAGTAAAATTTGTCCTTTAATTGTATATATTTAATTATATGTTAAGCGAATGAAATCTCGTACAGAAAACTTTGATGAATGAAGCTATTCACGCTGCCAACTTTGTCCAATGGCTAAAATCGACAGAGGTTGAGCATCTGCCAGTGCAGGAGTAAGCATGCAGGTACTTCTCCGACTATAGTTTTACCCGCATACATGTATATGTGTATATACATATACAGGGTTTGTTTGCAACATATGGTTCCCAGATTCGGGTAGTTCAGTGCACTGTAGTAGCGTAGCATTCATTTGTCCTCAGTAAACTTATTCTAAGAGCTCTGACGTTATTTTTATACATCCTTTTTTCATACTTGTCTCGATTAATTCAGGTCGCACATATCGTTTATAGGATTATGTATTTACATGAAACTATTTTCTTTTCGGTTACACAATGTTACAACTGTACAGATCAAAAGTTTCAATTCGGTGAATAACTTAAGTAAGCGAACCATCGAAGGTACGTACACAATCATTTACTAATAAGCATTTGTTTGTACGTGTGCTAACCATAAAGCATCCAAATCGAATGCACGACAGGATCGCCATTAAATAAAACAGCTTTCACAGCAGTCAATCAATCGAACGCTCTTTCTAGTGTTTGTGCAAGTATTTACATTCAGGTATGCACCTCGGCCTCTATAGGCACTCTTCCCTACCACCACGTAGATGATCACTTTGTTTACAATAACAAGTTTTGTCTACTGTCTTTTTTGTACGCTTTTTCAGCTAGCCGGGGTCTAGTACCACTGTTCAGTGCCGATTTTCAACAATTCCATGCGCCAATTTATGGATAAATTTTTCTCGACTGAATCATTGGCGCGCGTGTTACGCAGGGGGCATAGTGTAAGTTTAAGTGACTGCGCTAACGGGCAGGCCTCGAGAAATGACGCGTTGCTAAAAGGTTGCATACAGGGAAATTTTGGCCGCTCGTATTTCACATTTTCAGTGATTGAGCAGGCCAATCGTTTTTACTGCACAGTAGATACGCCCGGACCATGCCTTTTCCTTTAACAAAGATTTCGCCACGTTCCTCGACAGCGAAGTGTGAATCGTCCTTTATTAGTTCATAAACCTCAGCGGTGATCTGTGCAACAAACGCCAGTAACGATAAGTTCATTATAATCTTTATTGAGCTGAGGTGATTTAATAGGGCTCTGACTAATGGTAACTAGCTTGGTATCCGCGCGTTCTTTACACAGGGCTGTCGAAGTGTGCAATTCGGTGGAGATTGCCTACATGAAGGTATAAAAAAAAGCATGTTTCGCAATTTTCCTTATCGAGCTAATTGAAGTACCTGTATACGGCCAGCTTCGCCCGTTGAATCCATGCGGCTAGCCATGTTGACGGTGTCCCCCCATATATCATATTGTGGTTTTGTCGCGCCAACAACACCTGCTACAACCGGACCGATAGCCACACCAACTCGCAGCCGGAATTCCTGCCATGAATGAAGGTTGATTTCCTGAATTGGACGTCGAAACGGGCACGATTAACTAGACAAACCAGATCTTATTGGCTGCACACTATTAAAAACCAAATCCTGCCATAACATCGTACGTTCTGTTCGTTAATAAGTTACCGATTTCAACTGGAACGGTTATTGCACCACTACAAGGCTAAGCACCGTATTATTTCGTATACGAAAGATACCCAAATCCTTGCAAAATATGCTGAAGCCCTTCTCTCCAGTAAGGCTTAATCAATGGGCGTAGTGAAGAAAGTAAGATATATCTTTTAATTACTGAGATGTTTAAGGGAAGTCATCCAAGAACCTAAATTTAGATATCGTAACCATTTTACATATTTTTAAATGTAATTCTCTGCGATTTTATCTGTGTGGTGTGTCTTTTGCAGTTTACCCCTTTTTCATCTCAGATAGTTATTTAGAATTTCAAGAGAATTTTGTGAGGCCTTGATTGAAATAACACTCGATTGTCACCTACAGTTTGCTTCTGAATATCCGTATGTGTATGAATCTTACCTGGAGAGCTTCTTGAATCGCGATTGCAAAACGCAGCATTGTCTTCGCATTTTTATGTGGATCTTCGGAGCGCATCTGGCGCGTTTCGCTTATGGGCGTAGAGCTCTAAAAATGAAGACGTCGACTTTAGTCTTTCCAGGGGATCTTTATGAATCGGCTACTTTTACGGTGCATACAATTGAGGTGTTATAGAGTTCGTTCCATTATCTCGATTGTATCGAATCTATAGTATATATTGTATCGACTCCAGACATATATCGCTTATCAATATGTACAATCTGAAAAATTATCAAATAATTAGCAATGTTTATAATCACGACTACTCACGTCGTTTGAGCTTCGACCAAACTCGAGACCAGTTGCAGCCATATAGGTGGCACCCACCGTTTTAAGTTTCTCAACTCGAGAGAACTTGGAGTTGTAGAGCAATCTGTCGAACTCGCAGATTACCTGTTGACAATTACCAAGATTAACAGAAATGATCTTTTACATGCTCGACAAACCAGATGTTTCCATAGAATATTTATCTAGCTCTGTTCTATATTTATATGATAAACTCAGCACACTGACAGTCAGGCTCAGTGTTTTCCAGAATCTGAGTTTTTTTTTTATGTTTGACTAGATTCTCTATATGTCGATTTTCATCTAATCTTTAACAATGCGATAACCATTTGGCGAAATCCCATACCCTAACTTTGACCTACCTCGTTAAGGACCCTTAGACAAGAAGGGCCTTCACGCGAGAGACCTGTTGTTTCTCTATAGAATTCGATAAAGTTTGGGATTGATGCAAACATTACCGCAACACTTTGGTATTCCTCGTGATATAGTTCCTGTAAGATCATAGATACAAAGCCAATTAAAGTATAGATAAAGTGATGCATTATGAGCAAAGCCTGTGTGAATTTAGGCCTCAACTAAGTACACTCGTATAGGATGTCGATATCGTGAGGCTTCGATAAAACGTTCGCACGTATTATATACATTGTTGTTATTCCCGTTCAAGTAGTGCTTGGCGACATGGGCCGGTAAAAGATTCTCCAAAAGACAGTGATTCGTCTGCGCCATAACAGTCACCTCCAGCCGCTCATCTTCCAGCCGCTGTAAAAACAAACAGATGTTAGCTTAGATCTAATGATTGAGAAGTGCGATATATTTATATTTAGATGTTTATATTTTCCGCTTGAGCGTGAAAATGTCTTGGGATGAGATATCTGTATACAAAGAAACACACACGACTGAGGAAACCAATATTGTACAGCTACATTTGTTTCACGTAGACATATTGCAGTATTGTTAGATGAGAAAAATTCTATTGAATGATCGATTGTTACCTTTTGCGAGAGGAAATCTACACGACTCGTGTACTCGATCTGACGGTCTAGGACGTGAAGTATACAAAGCATGTACAACAGGTAAAATGCGTAGATGATCGTGTCGTCGTAGTTCATGAATGCCCTAACAAACAAGTGCGCCAAGGAAACAAACAGTTGAAAAGTTCGTCATGGCACTACGATCAGTTCTTCTATAACTAAATCATGATAATCAATTGGCTACATGTATGACTGCAGGTCTTCGGGTCACATATGAACAAGCCTTGGGAATTAATTTTACGTAGAACCCGCTGTCCATGGTCTTTTTCAATTTCGAAACCTAAATACGCCACAATCGAATTGTGCGACCGAATGTCAGCCTATATCTGCTTAATTCGCCGCCAGACCTCTAAATAATAATAACATTTCACATTTATTTTTCTCTCTAAATTAAACGCTAAGGGCTCTCTTACACATCGTTTTCCCATTAACTATTCATTTGTGTCCTGTTAAAAATCGATACCTGCGAGACGTTTTACTGTCAACCATCTCAGATGCATTTGCACTATGTACATTCATATGACTCCACTTACCAGTCGGAGACAAATAACGGGTTGATTGAAGAATTGTAGTAATCGTAGTGAATCACATAAGCAAGAAGAGCGACGACATTTAGCAGAAACTTATAAACAAAATTGATTCTCAGAAACACGGTTTGTGCAGTCATCGATAAGATGATAGAAAAGGTGTAACTCTGAAAACATGATAGGTATTGCCGTTATTAAAAATAACAGTTGAAATACAACCGCAAGACACAAGTCCGAACTAAGAAGAAGACATGCATAGAGACGGCATGACAGGACTGATAGACTTACCCACGGCAGTATGGACTCTTCCTTCAAGGAACCCTCGAAAGGATCGGAGGTGCTATTATTATCCTGAGGGAGAGGTTTCTGCAAATTTAACAGAAATGAGTTCCTGTTTAGTTCGTTTTTGGATCGATTATTTGTTAGAGATATAACGCACTGTACAAGTTGTCTAGAGTTCATCCTATTATAATTGTGCGGCAGCATTTTCATATACCTGTGGAAACAACTCATTAACGACCGGCCTTATTCTTATTTTTCCTGCTGTGTCGATTTCGTAGGCAACTACATCGTAGGCTATTTCTAAGTGTGAAACTTTGTTTTGCGTACCGTAGTCGCAGCGACCACTGCCGCCCGGCTGTCCGGGAACGGAATACGAGGCCGGGGCATGAGCCCCAGCCCAAGCAAGGCGAGTCCAAAGACAATTGTCGAACACAGCAACCAGAAAAAGAGTCGCACCCATCGACGATGCGTGATCGTGTGGCCAGCACGCATAAGAATTCCGTCGGGAAATCGAGAAAGTTCTTCATCTTTTTTCTGGAATCGAACGAAGTTTTACGTAACTTGCAAAAACGGCAGGTCACGAAAAACCTTATGAAAAGAGCCATGTTAAACCATTCGCGAAGGAAAGCTTCAAAAAGTAGGAACGCATCGTGGCCAGATCCGAGACTCGAAAAGCGGTTAAACTTATATATTGTGGACGAGGCAACTTACAATAAACTTCGTCCACACAAATCCGGTCCACGCAGCAAAATTTGCCAAAATAAGAACGATGTAGGCCAGAACATAGCAGACGATGCTTCTCCATGGCGCCGATGAATAGGAGATGATAGTAAAATGAACCACCGACATCCCGACAAGCACAATAAACAGACACAACAGATAGTACCTAGAAAATTAGGAATCCATAAACAATTATTTTATTTGATTTCAAAGTACAACTGTATGTGAAAATACGAGTTACCCATAAAGGTCTATGTTGCTTTACCTTTGGGGTAAGATATATTTGAATTCTGGCATCATCCTAAAGGTGGTAACTCCTTAAATCGTAGCTTAAGTACGTGGTACAGAGGGTTTAAAAGTTTACGGATAATGACACGGCTAAGCACCGGTACCTGAATAGAGGATCGGGCTGGGAAGCGTAACGTGCTTCGAGCTTCCGTTGAGTAAAGGTCAGAAAAAGAGGGTGGACTCCATCCGGACGAAACCACTGATCAAGCTTGCTCAATGGCATACGATAGACCTCCTGCGAAATGAAGATACCTTGATTAAGAGAAAATAACTGTGAATCCATCAGAGTCGTCGCTCTATCGCGTTCGTTACAACGCGTATGCGTTCTGCAAGTATAATATGTTTATGCGACCTATGAACGAGCACCGAGGGTCTAGTAGCTACAACCTTCTCAAGCATTTTATTTATTTCCTGGATCATCATATGGTACTGGTTCATCGAAATGTTAAGGTCATTCGTTTTTCTCCGTCGGAGAACCATTGCCGCTGCTGCATCTAAGCTCGACCCTCGCTTGTAGCCCCTGTAATGGTAAAAATGACACCGTAGATAACATGCATTATCCAACTGTCTAGTGGGCTTTTTTTTCGCTGAAACCTAACAGTGTGTAGGACGCGTAGCTGTTTATCATCGTATGAAGGTTCTTTTAGACACCGGGTTGTTTAGCATGATTATGGCCACACTTGAAATATTTTGCCCCGCTGGGCACATTTTACACCGTCACTTCTTTATCGCTCGTGACCAATCTCGACAAAATTAGCGAGCTGACAATAGATAATTCAAGCGTAGAAAGGTCATGATGAGGATGAATACTAGAAACAACTGCAGAAAATTGGTTAGAAATCCATAGAATTGCCTAAAGTGAACATTTAGAGACGAAAATGTGCAACTACTGTATAGGTAATATCAGTTAATTAAATTTTATCATTTCATTAAATTTTATCATTTCATTAAATTTTATCATTCTCAACTTAGAAATATATAAAGATGACAGTATTTTGGTACTGACCATTTATAGTAAGGTTAAATGAGTAAAAATTGAATGTCGTAAATCGTTATCGTAAATGTAATGTCGTTACTTTTCGTAGTCCAACCATTTCGTCTCAATAAATAGATATTAGATGTTCAACTTCTGACTGAAAGTATGTGTAAGTTGAAAAATAATAATGTCGTTTGAGAGGTTAGGAGGACATTCCTTTTTAACCTAGTTGTAGTTTAAATGGGGAACATTGCTTTGCAGATGATAGAAGGTTTACTGCTCTTACCCAACGGTATTTTTGGCGCGCGTAGAAACAGAATTCTGTTTGCGGATGAAGTGACTGCCGGGCCGGCCAATCGTCGAAGTGGCATCTAGAAAATATAATTACCTATTATTTTAGCTAGTCCTGCTAATAACAACAGATAGAATATTCTTTGCAGAATAGCCAGAAAAAGATGTAGATCCTGTTTGGAAACTAATATTTATATAACTTGAGGTTCAGTCTCTAAGGTTGATTGTTTCCTTATCTATGAGATGTATAATATTTACTGAGCGAGGGAAGGTACGAGCTTGGTTGTCTAGGCATCTCCAGCACGATTTCGCTGCCACTGCTGAGGTTTTTGCTGTTGCTGTTTGCAGTATTCCGGCTATTATTGTTGCATTCAGCGTTTCCGAGTTCGCAATCTGTGCGGATCACCTGCAGCTCAATCATGTCCTTTTTAATATTGAAAAAAAGAATTTTTGAGGCCAATAAGTTTGCAACGTCTTTTCAGCTCTGAATGGTGAGAATAAACAAAGTAAGCTTGTTTTTTGACGCTACCTATTACAGAATGCATTCAAAAGGCCTGAAATATTCTACAATGCCTAATCCTAAGCATCGATCCGCCCGCCCGCGATTGCTCCAGCTCATCGATGGCTCGGTTCGGGCTCGAAACATATCACCTACTAAAAGCTTTTTCACAGATGTTAAAGTAGAGAAAGTCCTTGAGGATTTCGAATTCACTCTCAAGTGACGTAGGACAAAAAAATAGACACGTACCCCGTTAGCAATCGTGACCTCTGAGCTGGATTTTCGATGGCACGTTCCAGGGAATTTTCTTACCTCCACCGGCTCGTACGGGGGTGGATGCACAAAATATGTTTTTAAGTTCGCACCAAACTGAACACCCAACACGCCGTCGCCATCGCGTATGTCATAATCGCCTTGCAGCAGATCTCTGGTCGCTTGTGTGATATGCACACAACTGGAATTGGGGAAGCATGTAAAACCAATGATTTGAATTCTTCTTATTATCTGAACACTTTTTTTTTTTAGAATTGACAACGATTGCGACAGGATCATCACGGACAACACTACGCTCGTTTAGGGAATCTAATACAGTCCCATTGACAACTGTGACCTTTGCTCACCCGGGCTTTCCGCTCTGCTCCATATGGGAGGCAATTCGGGCGTCGGTGCTCCAGATGTCGAACTGCCACCTCTTCAGTCCAAGAATGCCACTCAGGACGCTGCCAGAATGAATACCTAAATTGAATTTTGCGCAGGTTTAAATACGTTGCTGAACGTTGTTTGTCCGGACTTGAGTGTTTGTTGAGTATCCTTTATGCATGCATCCGACGTGACTTTTGTTTCTATGCAAACGCCACTATGCCGAAGACTATATTGGCTTAACATCAACTGCCTATAAAAAACTGTTAATAGTATTAGGAAGTGTACGTTGCCTTCATTGTCCTGAACGGTGGGTGGAAGTATAGCCAAATGCTAAGTTTTACATACGCGTACATTTGCAAAAGCTGCAAGTTTTGAATATTTATTTGGAGAAATCAATATGAGATGTATAGGCTAGGGCCATAAAAAAAAGATACGTTAGGACGTCAAATGAATTGCCACTGACCGATACGCATATCTACGTCGACTTGCCGGTCTTCGCGGACATGGCGTATAATCGCGATCATATCAAGCGCCATATTAACGCAGTTGTTTGCATGGTTCTCTTGATATTCTGGAATGCCTATATAGGGAACAAATCATTACAGTCGCACGAAAAAATAAACTCAGAGTTAACCATATGGTCCGACACACGGATTATGATATATAAGAGCTACGTTGAAAACTCGCTAATATATACCTAAGTGTATGATTTGAGGGTGCGTGCATCAAGCGCCCGCTTTGGCTGCGTCTTGTTTTCTTGTCTCTGAGCGAAATGGTGAATTTAAGTCTAACAAACGTTGCGCTGGGACGTGGCAAAGCTGAATGAAACCAACAAAGCATTAGATTAAAGTTGAATCTAAAATATTCAATAAGTAGCATATGGTCAGAGCCGCAAGGTTTCGATGAGCTTCACTTGACGGTAACGATCGTGGATACCGAACGAGACGCGTCAAATACTAACTGGTTAGTCACCAGGATTCCAGCCGAGGTGCGACGTTTGAATGCCTTAGCTCGGATTAACGGTGCCGATATCGAGTCACTGTCAAACTGTCTTAGAGATAAACTTTCATTGTTGCAAGTAAAGCTTCCGACACGCATCAATCAAATGTCTAGACAAATATGCATCTTACAAGTTGAATTGTATCTAGACTGTAAAGGCGGTAAGAGGAAGACAGGGAGATGTCTGCTTTTTGCAGCTGTTTCCAGCCAAAAACAGTATCTCCATTTAACACGTTAGGTGTTTAAGTGATTACACAATTGTACGAACCCGAAACACAGTAATAACAATCTCCAAGCAGCTTAATCCGGAGGCAGTTATTTCTTTCGGCACGCTCATCGAATTTTGCATAGAGCTGATCGAGTGTCTCGAGGAGTGCGGCTGGATTTAAAGCGGAAGCCAACTGCATGGAGTTGACGATGTCCGCGTACAGAATCCTAACAAATGTAAAGGAGCAAATTACTATAGTTATGGTGGGAATTGTTTTTACATATAGCGTAAATCGATTTAGCCTGCTAAGTATGCAGACAAACCGCAACTAGTAGAAACCCAAAGGTATAGAAAAGAAAAAGTACACTCACGTGACCTTCGGATGCTCCGTAATGTAGAGTTCGTTGAAGCCATGCTTTTGCACGACAGAATTATTCTTCAGCTTTAGAATTCGGTCTCGAAGGTCCGCACGAACCTTTTCGGTCGTCTCACATTTTGGCATAATCGATAACATCAACTGTTCCTCTCTTTCCTACAAGGTACAACACAACAGAGATAGCTGATATTTTATATATATAGAAAGCATTCTACTTTATGTTATAACAATTGTTCGGTGATCTTTAGAATTACTGTGGAGACAGTCTCTATCGAGAGCTTACTAGATCAATGTCGAAACAGCTATCGCGTGGGCTCGACAAGTGACGCACTTGCGAAAAGTAGAAAATCATATATAATCAGTTTATGAAAAATGTCCCATTCATGTTGAAAATCTGAGCTAGAAATTTGAATAGAGTAAAATGGACGCGATGCTCGATAGCAATCGGGATCACGAGTTAATCAACGAAAGCCAAACGAACCTTTTCGTCGTTGAGTTTCCTTTTGGTTTTTAGAAGGTCTCGCCGCTCTAGGAATGACTTTTTATTGGTGATATCCATGAGAAAGCGGACATAGCACCCCACGAATAAGGCAACCACGTGAGCAACAAACTCCGCTGCCACCTGAGAATTATCATTGACAGTTTAGGTAAGACGATGCGTAGGGAGGGCGGTATAATTGGCATTATTTCAGTAAACTATAACTAATCTCAAATAGTTAAACGGAGAAAGCAGGCCCGAAAAGCAGCGAGGTGCAGTAAGCAAATCGACGACTTTATCTACCAAAACAAAAACGCAAAAAAACATGGCACCAAAAAAAGGCCAGGGAAGGCTTCGCTACGATCCTTGACGGGTAGCGGTGACCACGCTTAAGCCATATGTAGCCCGGCGAATTGTTTATGGTACAAGAGATATGGGCCATGGTGCTAGTAGCGATTAAGAGAAATCACACAAGAAAGCTTCTAATAGGAAGCTTCGGCAAAGTGATAAATTGACTCCGAGCCACGAGTCTCAGACAAATCTTGGGCAAAACGTTTCTTAGAAAAAACATTTTTTGTTAATTTATCAATTTGATGGCCAAATGGGACGTTCATAGATGGGCAATTGATGATAGATACATGGCATCAAATAGCGTGACTTTTTCTATCTGTTCTAGCTGGATAATTGTTTTCCGCTGCCTCGTTCAGGATAGAAACCATTTTTTTGCCTCCAATACACTTTCCAAGTTCGCAAATCGTACTCGTTTCGAAAGAAAAAAATAAAATAAGGAAGGCTGAGTTTCTAGAGAAACAGATTTGCGGAATAGGCGTCAAATTTTTCGAGTTGCTGATGTGTACGATTAAGTGTAGCCTAACGGTATTTTCCTGTAGGGCTTCTGTGATTTTGATGTTCACATCTGCCGGCAGCGAAGTACTACCACTCAGTGCTTGTTTATCATACAAATCAAATAACGGATTCTTGCGGGGAAACTATGAACGGTTTAGCTTTCTCAGATGACTTTATCATGTGTATCAGAAGTACATTTGGTCAACATCGTGTGAAGTACTGCCACTGCAAAATACAAGTATGAATCTTGAGCGTTACTTACGAATTTTTCTTTGCCGCTATGTGTACTGTAAACCTTTAGCGACACAGTGAACTCGACGAGAACTAGTATAAGCCCCGCTAATGACGCTTGAAGTTTTGTAGGGAATGGCAGAAATATTGTTATACCAAGGATAAAGCAGAATGAATTCCTGATTCGAAGTGGACTTGCGTCTGCCTGAAGGGGATCCGTTTCTCGTATCTGTTTAGGTGTCCATTAAAAAAAAATAGAAACCAATTTTAATATAACAATTTATCCTATGTGTACGGGTACAATAATAATTATTATTATTAATGCCTAAAGTATATTGTATAATTTCATACTCACTTGTCAATTAGTTTCCTTTTTCATTTGGTGCTATACGGAAGTTCAGTAATTCAACAAAGGAAAATCGACGCTATTCTTTTTGATCTCTTCCTACCAGAATCTCCACATACTTAATCACAATACACAATAGTAAACGTGAATAGGAAAGTCGTCAATTGTACAAACGTTTCTCTTTTTTTTGATTTACGGCATTCTATGAAATTAGCTCATAGACGATGCGGTTTGCCAATGTCAAGATGACGTACTATTGGGAGATGTGTACTACTGCCCTAGAGATTCGTTCGGACCACGGTAGCAAACTGTCTTAGAGATAATTATTAGAATACGCAAGATAAAAGTTAGCGACTCGAGTACTCCAGAGTACGGAAATAGGGCATACGTTCAGCTCAATGACAACGCCTGAGTCAAATCAATCCAAATCAAACTATTGTTGACTTTCCCCCAAGGGATTCTACTCTACTAAGGGTAGAATGACAAATTTCAACATGACAATTCATCCTTCCAACACTGACGATTCAACTGTCATAAATAGCACGCTGTTATGTCGTTGTGTCTACTTCAGGAGATTTCACCTGTTTTCAAGAACACAACACAGGCACAACTGCGCAATGAGGATTCCCGATCAAGCAGCGTTAATCATACAAGTAGCACTCGTTAAAATCCTTAGTTCCATGCAAATGACCGCACCCATTTTGCGAAAGTCGCAAGTGAAGAAGTGTTTTGTCATTTCACTCCTCGTAAGTGAACATTATGGGAAAGCGCCACTTACCGGTCCGACGAAAAAGTCATGTAGAGTGGCCGCGTATTCCGCGAAAAACCCAGCGAGGATAAGCGTAACCGCAACGGACAACCGTACAGCGTTTCGACGGAAAAGTCGTTCACGTAGCGACAGAATAAAAACGGTCAGGTTGACAAAGAGAGCAATCGAACGCGCCACGATGGGGACTACAGTGAAGCGTGTTCTTTCCGATGGCGGCTTGAAGAATGCAGATATCGATGCAATATACATGTCAGCGATGCTTCGAACATTTGCTTTCGGAGCTATACCCAACCTTGCTTTGTTTGTAGTTGAGATTTTATATAAGTTACCAGAACCGGACGTTTCTACAGATCCCGTAAGGAAATACTAGCTAAGTTTCTTAATAATGATAATAATAATGTAATATTATTATTTGAGGTGCACAAAATCGACTCTCTTATCGTGCTACATTATTCAATATACTACATTTATCTCAAAATCGACTTCAGGATAGACGAATCAAGACAGATTTTATTTTAATTGAGCCAGTTACCATCCATCATACAGCTGCCAAATTGTCAACTTGTGAAATTTTTAATTCCATAACTTTTTCGTTAATTCCGTCTACATTTCCTCTTTACGCCCTACTGCAAAATCATTTAGTTTTTAGTTAATGAGATCTTCATTGGGTGTTCTTGAATACGTATTGCCTGCCACTGAATCTCGACCAGGTTTTCGAAGTTATTCCCGTTAAACTATGCGTCCTCAAGCGTCCAGGAACTTGAATTCACTTGATTGCTTATGTTTACTTGAGTAAATACGAATTATAGAGCTGGTAGCGAACAAGATGAGATTGATATTTTCTTTATCGAACCTACCTTTAAAGGAAAAATTGGCGATATAAACTTGTCAGCTATTGTGACTCTCTCTCTCTCTCTTCTTCTATATATATATATACCCGTCCGAAGCATCGTTAAAATAAAGGAGGAAAGAGCACACCTACTTGATGTTGTTCATTTTTGGCGAGGCTTCCAAGCGAAACAATGACAGGAAACGCGTTGGACACAACGCTAACAAGAAGGTAAACAACCTGCGGATGATGAAGTAGAATATTTTGAGAAAAAAATCTGCGGCAAAACGTGGGCAACTCAGCGTCATTTTTTTTGCCCAATATTATAGATCATCGTCAAGACCTGTTATTAGATGAGCACATATTTATAGCTATTTTTTAGATGTAACTGTACGACGTATGCAACAATTCGTCTTCTCTCGTTCATTTTGTGGACTATTTGCAATCTAGGCAGGGTCGTATGATGAAAAAATTCTACGAAATAGCAACCGCCAAATTGTAAAACGCCTCATTTTGCTCTGGTGATAGTTTCACTCACCATTAACGTATGATGAACTCGCATCTTGTATATCTCGTAGACGGTTTCCGACTCCGTTCGCTTGAGTTTTTTCTACAGATCATACAAAATACGCAGTTTAACGATGTATTCACTCCATACGGATACCCTCTACAGATAACTCATGCAACTACTGGGGACAGATTACATTTAGAAAGCGGACAAATTTTACTTGAGCTGAACTAAAACTTGACATTTTTTTTAAATATATAGACTCACATTGAGGAAACTCCGTTGGAACACTTGCTCCTCGGTATCCGTACTGAGTTGGGTTGAAATAACCGATGATGGCAGGCTAGGGCTGCCTTCACTCGCTGCAACGCAATATTACGGAACAAAATTATATTGAACAAAGAGTATCATACTTTATTTTTTAAATTTAAAAAGCGCGCCAAAAAACGTCAGCGCGCCTTACGTAAGCGAGATCCCATTAAAAGGTTCATTTATGTTTTTAATACATTTCTTAAAACACCATACGAAATCGTGTGTCTGTTATCCTTTGATATGTAATGTAACTAAAATATAAAGCCCGCACGTGGTTTAGAATCGCCTTTTGAATACTTAAAAATTTTAGAAAAATGGTGTTCTATTATTATGGTGTTGCAAAATAGAGGTATTATAAAGGAAAACAAGAAAGTTCAAAGGTAATTGTATTCTTAAAGAGTTGGTAAAGGCAATCGCTCGCGTTCATCTCCTGCGTAGCCTGCTGGCTATGAATGAAAAGGTTGTCTTTGTTGCTCTCGAAGGGCAAGCTAAACCGACAAAGGACAAAAAAAATTCGGCGAGATTATTCATATAAGCATGATAAAAAAAAGTTGACAACGACAAAAAATATCCATTGAAAGGGTTTGCCGTAAAAATCAGTGCCGCTGAGGGCGGTTTCCTGTTTCCAAGTCCAACCTTGACCCTTAGGTTAACACATAAGTATCTATTTGCATTAAAGATTTTTATAGCAGGTTAATCCCTCACCAGCTACTAGGGTTAGACACAATGCTTGCAAGATAAAAAAGAAGTTCAATATTACAGACTAACCTATTAATAATAACTGGTCCATATTGATGTATATATATATATATATACATCAATATGTAGTACACTATGTATAAAAGGAGTATGTATATATAGACATACTCCCTTTGATGTTATATAGATTTCACTGTAAAACAAAGATATACTATTGATTAAGCAAAGTGTATGGAGAAAACTTCCAACCGATGGACTGCTTGACGACAAGAAACAGCCCTCCCACGGAGGCATCGTCGGCTGATCGAGCCAGTCCTGAAATAACGTACAGAAAAATAATAATTTCTTAGACTCATTATTAGTATCAAGTTGACTTTGTCAAGTACGTTTTCCGCTTACGTTTAGCTGCGCAGAAGTCGTTTACGTACTCGTACCCATAGTTTAATTGCAAACATTATTTGTGGCTTATAAATTCCAGTACACAAGCGAGTTGATAATTTCCATCGCGGAAGTCAAGCTTTCAGAATCGGCTCTGTTTGCATCGATTGAGGGAAAAGCACTTTTTGCAAACAACTTTAAAGAAGTTTGGCCCGAGCAGCACATTCTTTAAATTATCTAAGAAATATTGCACAACATGAGACAACGATCTCCGGGCAAAAAATAATACAGACTTACGAAACTACATAGTTTTCTACTTTGAAAAACTAAACGTCTATTCTGTTTAATAGGTTAGACATTTTGAAACATTGATTTAGTCAACTCACCATTTGTCTGAAGGTGATTGTGGTCACTTCCTTCCAACATCACCTCCTCAGCATCGCACCAAATTACCTGAATCAAGCACAACGAAGGGTGCCGATAAAAAAAGCTCAATAATGTACTATTCAGATCGATAGAGTCCACGAATAAATTGTTGTTTTCAGACTCTAGTTGATCAGAACATACTTATGCGGCGAAATGTTTAATCATCGGACATTCCGTTCCGCCTGATGATGATAATAATAATAATAGTAATTATAAAATAAATATCTAGATATTATGTGTTTAACGTCTCAATGTGCTGGCGTACGTTTTTAGTTGAAGTATAGTTCCTTCAATTGTAAATGTTGTCCCCTAGGGCGTTAAACCTACTTTGGTCTTTCTGACTCCATCCTCATTTTATAATACATTACGCTTTCTTTAACAGATCGTCTGCCTGACGTTCTGTGTATATAAAAAATCATCTTAATATCATATATATATATATATGTATATCTGGTATGCTCAACAGCATACTGTTTTTTGACTAGAAAATAACTTCAGATGACAGCGTTAACTTTACTCTTCAAGCACAAAAAAGTTTTAGATGTGCCAAAACGTGAGAGCCTGCTTATCACCTATAAAGAATGCACTGTAAAAACGAAATCAATGTCGATTTCATAAAACGATAATGCTGAACTCGTCAGAAAAGCTAATATTGGAAATCGTTATAAGCGGGCCCCTGTCAGTTACTGATAGTCATATAACTGTCTGATAGCTAAAACTTCAACGCGCTGCTATAAATATTCCAAACTTTATACTCAGTACTAGCGTCAAGTGTTGTTTCAGACGACTAATTATTTGCGTCGAACGTCCGGTACAAGATTTCTAGGCATTGCTGTAAACGGCTGACCCTGTCTGTACAAAATGAAGTGTCTACAGCTAGAGTTGAATCTAGGCTACCACGTGTCCCTAAGTAAAGTAGGCAAACAGGTCACTCGCTATCACAAGTGCGAAAACTTACTCAGGGGGCATCTGGCTGGCACGTATTGGAGATGTGCGCCCAGGATATCTGCAGACACAAGCAAGGATCATCTAAATCTTTAATAACTTTGATCCGCTACAAGACACGGCGTAGCGCTAACATGGCCGCTTACCACTTTGGCGAACCATGTTCCCTACTGTCTATAATCTTTGAGGTGAATATTATTGAGCCGTCCGAGATGAACTCGACGGACGGCAGATTACGTTGCCTATGTCTGAAAAGGTAATCTTATAAAAAAACAAGATAAGTGCCATTCTACCGGCTAGTCATACTTGTTACCGATACAATCGAATCTACAGACCCTATGTACTTTCAGTAGACCTTCCCTAAGACCTAGTTAATATTCCGATAACATCCGATGGACCATTCGCGTACAAACCGGCCATCCAAAGTTGACAAGTTGACTCTATGTTAGAAAATAGTCTTAAGCTACTTAACAGTAATTGTGTACACACGGAATTTAGTTACAGCTTTTTAGGAATAATGAAAAATTGCCTCTGACCTGGCATAGGGCTTCAGTAAAGCCGCAGATACTAATCGAACGACTCTGTGCGTCAAGATTAAAATCGTTGTAATTAAAATAAAAATGAATTAATTTTCTAGTTGAACGGAACAAAGTAATAGCCCGATGAGTAATGCATGACTAGCCTTTTCTGTCTACAAATAAAATTGCTCTTACTACTACTATTATTAGTATTATAACTGAGATTATGGTTATTACCTGGGTTTGAAAAATGTCTAGATGTCAAACGAGCAATTGGCTAACATCTGCTGAAACTCGACCAGTTATCATATTTTAAACACTGACATAATCCCTGGCATATATATATGTAGGATCATTTGTGGGGTGGATCAGCTTTCTGCACACGGTTATCCAAAAGATTTTGTTGGGTTTACTAAAAACCTAAACTAGCTGCGAAGGTAATTTCATACAGACAAAATATACGGTTTCGATTTCATCTAGGCTAGCTACGAATTTCGTCCTGCAATATGTATACGCCGCATGGTACATATAGTTTCATAGAAAACGCTAGGGTAAATCGCTACATTGCTTTTTCGTTCATATCGGCCGTACGTAAATTCTTTCAAGAAGCCGGATATAAATAGAAGAAAAGTCTCAATGCAAAATTCAGAGCTTTGGTCGGTAAATGCTTATGAGGTCGTCTTTATTGTCATCTTCGTTCGGTGTGTTCCTTGTGTGATGAAGTGTGATGAAGCACTTGGTAACGGCTAACTCACAGGTCGCCAAATACCTGTTGGGTAGAACATTAGTCATGTGAATCATTGAGCGATAATTCCGGATGAAAAAGGATCTAACTCGGTTTGGCCTAGAGTAGGATGATCAGAGAGAGCTGAAGAGAAAACCGCGCATTCCTGTGGGACATTGTTCAACAAAGTATAGCCCAATTCATTTGCAGAGATGGCTCCAATAAAGAAGTCGGTGAAACGTTGAAATAGTATAATTTATATACTGTATATATGTTGCTGATTTTAGTTGAGGACAGGTTACTTCAAAGTGTTTCAAGACCTCATTTTTCAATTATTATTATTATTATTGACCGAATAATAACGATCTCACTGTATATAATGGCCTGGCTACTCGTTTTGCAACGAATTGATTTCAGAATTCCTATAACGCCATGATAACTGGCAAAGCTAGAACGATATATTTTCGTCAAAATCGGAATCATGGAAATTGTGAACGCGTTTATGCGCGTTTATGTGAACGCGAAGTTTTATGCCAGCAAGTTTAGGGGACTTGCTGGCATAAAACTGCCTCCCAATATTTACTTTCATCTACCGTCCAAATAGGTAAGTAGGTGCTTGGTAGAGGATGTTGTAGATAAACGAAGCACAGGTTTTCGTCAGTGTCTATACTTTGCCTTCAGTCAATAGTACTGTGACATTTTTGTGTTTGCGTTTTGGGTTTATGTGCATCTGTAACATTCGACCTTGTCCATTATATATTGCCGATTGTCAAATAAATCTTAATAAACAATATAAGCACTGTTAAAGGATCCCAGAGGGCCTGAAGAGTAGCTTGAGAAACAATATTGTAATAGGACAAATTCATCTTCGTTATATCTCATAATCAGCTCACAGCCGTTTACGTCGTCGGCGCACGAATAACAACAACAAGTAGAGAAAAATGGCTTTCGGCGAACATCCCGATCGTATTTGTTTATCGCCTTTGTTATTAAATATCACCAACTCAGCCGCCGTGACGAACTCGCTTATATCGTTAACTGACTTTGGCGAAATCGTAAACAATGCTGAGGGTCCATGGACGCGCATGAGCCTGACTTTCACCGATGTATAGTACTAGTTTCCTACACATTTAATATGATCGGCCCATATCTGAACTAGCACTATTTGTAGAAAAGGAAGTGTTAGTTTGTTTTTAATTAAATTACGATAGATACGTTCCGATTGAGTATTTGCACAGGATCTTAACGGCATCTTTCCGTTTTAGCTTGCATAGAACCAAAGTCGTCCACGAGGCACTTGTCACCAAAGTTGGGTAATTCCTGGGTATCATTCAAAGCTATTACAGGAAGCGGTATTGGTGAACTTCTTCCGGTGGAAAATAAATAGTATGGGTAGAAAATGCTATGAAAGTCCGATCAGCAGGAAGTGCCAACAAATCGAATTCCTGCAGCCGAGTTCTCAGGAATGGCTGCTGCCGCTGCTGACAATGCGAAGTTCGGGCTATGTCGGTTATATCGCAATGGCTAGCTTAATGAGACACCTCAACTGTTGAACTTCCAAAAGCAATAAGTTATTTCTCAAAAAAGTATTTTGAAGTATTCTTTACTGCGTCGGATATTCTCTAGAAGTGAAGATTGTCAGCATGTGGCGGCATATAAAAATAAGGTTAAATATCGGAAAGTTTTTATTTTAATGTATAGCTCTTGAAGGTTTGTTGTACCAATCATCTTTGTCAAAAATTCAATTTGTACCTGATTGGGCGCTGCCGTGGTCGTGTTCGAACAAATTACTTCGGAAGGTCAACTAAACTAAAATAATCAGAATTTTTCCTTTTCGTAAGATGCATCGCTTTTGACGGAATACACAAATAAATATTAAACATTTTCCAAAAATATGAAAAACACTGCCAATGTTAAACGGAATACTCTGGAATATCACACGTATGATGGTAAATCAGAATAATATATGTTACGTACGTTGAGAATAATTGTCTAACTGCAGCTAGCTTATGTAGTACATATATGTAGATCGAGCTTTTTGAAAACTCGCGGGCAAATTATTAACTTTGCCTGTCAATGAAGCTTTAGGTGCGATGAGTTTATTGAAGGATGGGTGAAATGTGTTGAAGGTATACTCGCCGCAAAAAAGCTCTGCTAAATAGGGAAGTCAAACCGAATTAAAGGAAAAAAAAAAACGATAATATTACACCACAATCATTGCAAGGAACTGGCTCTCATAGAAAGTCCACAAAGACAATAGCTTCGATACCAATCAATGACCGTGTTCATCGGATTAGAAATGAGGCCGGCGTTACCCACGACGCGTGATCCTTTCACGATTGGGGCTAACCACTTTAAGGATACCATTAGTATCAAGCAAGGGCTCTTGAAACAAGTGTGGTTCGGGCTTTTCTGTGGCGGCGATAGGATGACATATCTGTCAAATAGTAGAACACAACAAACATTGGCAGGTTACATTGGTGCAAGCTCAGAACTGAAACGTAAACTTGTAGAAATTCTATTATACAAGACCCACACGTACATTTTGTTGTAAACGACAAATATATACACTGATAGTAAAAATTATTTTTATTATGCAAATGAAATTATCCTTCGAGAAGGAATTCGTCATTTTCTTAGAATCCTCAACGATATCTTTAACGTTTTACCCCGAGAAGTGTTTCGCTTGTAGACCATTTATCGTAAACGAATAGGGGTTCAGGTAACGCCTGATTAAGACCTGAAAGCAGACTTACTGTCAAAAGTTGTCGACCTGTAGAGGCTACCATTAGCTATGTTACATACGTTTGATTGTCTATCGGGTGATTGAACCGTTACAGTCAAGGTGACATTGGTATGGTTGTTAATTTGCAACACCTTTATAAACACGTGTAATGAAAGTCTCAGATAACTGATTGTTTCTGTGATAGAGTGATAGATTTCAATTTCGTAAGCCGCAATAAGATTTCGACACGATTAGCAATTGCCTAAATTTTTGACCTGACAATATTAAACGGAAATTTTGCGACTACAAAAAAAAATCAATCATCGCGGTTTAACAGAAGGTCTTATGCCGCAATTTTGAGGAAATGTATATTTAAACACGGGTGCCGCTTCCAGTAATCCTTGATGCAGCAATATTAGGTAAATATGAAGCAATACGATATTTCTAAACTCATCGATTTCAAAAAAAATATATGGGTTTCCACACAAATCAAAAAATTTATAAGGGATTACACATCGTAGAATAAACGTATCACAATCTTCAGGAAAATTATATACGTTTGATCATGTTCAACCGCGTGCTTTTAGTAGTAACGCTTATTCTCAATTTCGATACATTTCAGTTCTTCATCATACTTCATGTACGGCATTTCGTGAAGACAGCAAAGAAAGTCAAATTTACCTGATACATCTTTGTTTCGCAGGTCATCCGTTAACTAATAATTTTCAAGTACCAGGTGTTTTTTGTGCCGGGTGGTGTGACAGCGCTGCTTAGACTATTAAAGTGATATCCACAAGGACCAGAAACACTGGTGTCAATGATCATTTCACTGTAATTTTTTCCGACCTTCCATAGTTGCCTCTCCGAACGTTTTCGTTCAAAAAGTTGTGATACGTCACTGGTCTACACACGCAATCACTCGGAGATCGAAAAAAACAACTAACCATCACAGATATATAATGCTACGCTGTCACAATGGCATAGCGTTGGCCTCTGAACGTTAAGGAGACATCAAGAATCTGCTCCCAAATGATTCCGAAATTTCATCCGCGCCGTAACGTAGTCTAAAGGACGTAGTATGTGGTCTACCCTTA